AGGAATATACTAGAGAAATATGTATAGGTGCGACATCACCGTAACATTCTCCCCATTGAACGAAAAAGGTGTACTATCAGTTTTTTTTTTTTTTAAACAGCAACAACATGACTAATATAATGAAATGAACGAAATGTTATATATGAAAAAATGACAAAGTAATTTAACAGTTTTTTTCAAAAATGAAAAGAAAACAATAGAACAAAAATCACAGTTTTTTTTAAATGAGATCAACAAGTTGTATGATATGTAAAGATAAGGAACAAATGAAAGACAAAATGATAGTTTAGTATCTGAACAAAACAAAAACGAAACAAAAATATAAGATTGAGGTTAGTTGTTGATTTATTTATTGATTTTTTGTGTTTTGTTTATATATCATTTCGATCTCCTTGTTCGATCATCTTTATAAGATGATCTATTTCGTTGACTAGATATAAATTCATAAAAATGAGATGTTGTAAATAAATGTTTTATACGATTGTGATAATGATCAATTTGTGATGAATCTCGTATGCCGATGTGTAATGATCGTTGTCTTGTTGTCGATGATGTTGAAAAATTAACGGCAAAGAATGGAACGTCGTAAGATCGAATAATAGCTTTTATTTGTTTGATTTTAAAACGACGGTCAATATTATTAATTATAATTGTATTTTGATAATAACGTTTTCTTTGTTTCAGTGTACATGAACGATTGTGTATTCGTTTACGTTCTTCTTCCGATAATAAGTTGTATTGTTGAGGTTCACGTTCAGGTTCTGATTCATCTGATGAAATCTGTTCAGCATCAATGATTGTTGGTTGTTGTTCAATTATATTTTCTTCAATTGATGTAATTAATGTAACTGTTGATTGTTGTGGATTGTTGATTAAGTTCAATTTAAGTAATAATTGATAAATTGATAAACAATCATATATAGCGTAACGAGTAAGTCGTGTACGGTGTTCGATTTCATTTGTATTAAAATGATATAATTGTGGATCAAGACCGATATCAAAACTTGAACGAGTAAAACGTTTATCTAACCATTGATGAAGTTCGTATGCGACGGCATTTTGTAAAGACCATGTATCAGTTGGATTAATGCCTAAACAGGATTCACATTGACATGGTAATTCATTTGTTGAACGTTGAGATCGTGTTTGATGAGGATGTTTCTTGGTCCAATAATCTTTAAATTCATCTTGAAAATTGTTATTATTTGATAGTTTAATTTGATCAAGAGTAAATAGTCCAGTTGTAGTAAAATCATTTAATTCATCAATTTCTCCCCAAATATAAATTGTTTTTCCTGAAGAAAACAATGTTGTAAAAAATTGTTTAATAAGTTGGAATGTTGTTTCATGAATAGGTGGTAAATGACAAACTTCAATGATCAATGCATAAGAAATCGAAGTTGGTAATATGATTTGAATCTGAATAAGTGCGGGTTTGTTTGGACCTCGATAAATACCAACTGATTCTGTATCCAAAATAAAATTTGTTGAAGCTGCACAAGCTTCAATAAGATGAAGAAGTGTTAAATCAGTTGTTTGAAAATTTATAAAAAATTGTTGGAAATTTGATGGTGTAAATGTTGGATATGTTGATGCTAATTCATGTTCGTGTATTTTTTTTCGGAGTGCTGTTCGAAGATTTTGTCGTGGACGTCCTTTAATTGTTGATGGAATATTCTTTAATTGCCATTTAAGCTTTTCGTACTCTCGTTGTGATAACATGACTAGAATAGAAAGTTAAATTGTAATTATATTAAATAGCGATTCATTAAAAAATGAATCTAAGGTGTAAAAAATTCGATTCTCAAAGGGAAAAGAATCAGTGAAAATAAGTGATATAATTTTTTCACAAATATAATAATTTCAGGACAAATAAAAATAATGATGAATTATATATATATAATAGATGTAGTTATTTTATATCTCAATAGAATTGATGTACGAAAAAAAGTTCTTCTCGATTCTCAGGGCTCATAAAGAGGATCTATGAAGATTGATTGAATGTTAAATACATTCAACAAATAAATTTCGTATCATGGAATAATTAATTGTATAAATTTAATCCGAATTAATAATTCCATTTGAATGTTGAGATATAATTATGGTACGGATCTCATTGAAGAGGTCCTTAAAATCTAATAAATACGTTCAAATATTGGTAATAACACGTCTGATGTAACTTGACGATGTAAAGTTGGTTTCTTGACGTGTTGAAGAATGAATGTTTTTCGTGTCAATTGTTTGATAATTCTAAATGGTCCTTCATAACAAAGATCGAATTTGTGACGGGTGTTTAGTGTTTTAACAAGAACTAAATCACCAATATTATATGAGGGATCAGAACGATGAATATCATAATGTTGTTTGTATCGAGCTTGATTCCTTAGAATATTTAATTTGGCTTGTTCATTTCATTTTGACAAAAAATTTTTGAGTTTGACGGTATGTTCAGCATCATATGATAATGTGACGTTATCGGCTTGATAATCGAAGGGTAATGTTGGTAATCGTCCGTACATCATTTGGAATGGTATTTGTTTTGTAGTTGAATGAATTGTAGCATTATAATTAAATGTAACAAATGGTAATTGATCATCCCAATCAGTTTTCTTAAAATTTGATAATGCTGCAATTTTTGCGTCCATAGTTGAATTATATCTTTCAACTTGACCATTAGTTTGAGGATGGTATGGTGTTGAATACAAGTGTGTGATACCAATTTGTTTACATAATTCATTCATTAATGTTGATGTAAAATGTGTTCCATTGTCAGTAAGAAGACATCGAGGTGTTCCAAATTTTGCGATAACGTCTTCTTTAAGAAATCTAACAGCTGTTTGAGCTGTATTATCACGTACAGCTTTGGTAACAACGAATTTGGATAAAACATCGGTAAGAGATATGATATATTTATTGCCGCGTTGAGATATTGGTGTAATAGGTCCATGAAAATCCATAGCTACTAATTGCCATACTCCATCAGGTGGTTGTATTGGTTGTAAAGTACC